TATTGGAAATACCTTTCGTGACGCGCCAAGTCTCTGAGCCATACAAGAGCACTGACTTGACGTTGGTGTTGAAAATCCGTATCTTGTTCCGCATGCTGAGTGCAGAAGATCTCCACACTGGTTTCAGGCTAATGAACGCCTGTCTTGCTTTTCCGATTCTGACTTTGACGTCCTCGTCCGTCCCGCCTGTAGTTGAAACAGTGCTTCCTAGATAAGTGAAGGAGGTTACTTCCTTTAAGTTTCTCCCGTTGATGGTGATTGGAGTTTGTTGTTGTTGTTGATGGTGGTGGTGCGGTATCTTCATCACTTCTGTCTTCTCTATATTCACCTGAAGTCCCGTCTTCGCTGCCTCTTCTATCAACTTGTTAGTTTTTGCCTGCAGATCTTCAAGTTTATGTGACATTAGGCATAAGTCATCGGCGAAATCCAAGTCTTCTAGGTTCTTTTCCGTCGTCCAGTGTATCCCCCTCTTCTCGCTGCCTACTGTTTGCTGCATGATCCAGTCCACCACAATAAGGAATATCATGGGGGATAGTAGGCAACCTTGTTTCACTCCTGTCTTCACTTCAAAGGCATCACTGAGCTTCCCATTGTGGATTACTTGGCATGTGGCATCTTCATATAGTTGTTGAATGAGGCGGATAAAGGTTTGCGGTACTCCGTAGTATTGAAGCAGTTTCCAAATTACTTCTCGGTCGACGCTGTCAAAGGCCTTCTCAAAGTCGATGAAGTTGAGGTGGAGAGGTGATTGCCATTCTATGCTCTGTTCTATGATGATACGAAGCGTTGCAATTTGGTCTGCACATGATTTGTACTTCCTGAAGCCTGCCTGTTCCGGTCGTAGTTTTGAATCCAGTGCATCTTTAAGCCTCTCCAGGATGATGCGGCTTAATATTTTACTTGGGGTGGACAGGAGAGTGATTCCGCGCCAGTTCTTGCAAGCACTGAGGTCTCCCTTCTTCGGCAGTTTGACAAGGTAACCCTTCTTCCAATCGTCAGGTACCTTCTCTTCCTTCCACACCTTCTGCAATAGTGGTGTGAGCATGGCCGCTGTTGTCTCTGCATCTGTTTTCAGTGCTTCTGGCGGTATTCCATCTGGTCCTGCTGCTTTCCCGCATTTCAGTAGCTTTATGGCGTTCAGGACTTCCATTTTCGTTGGGGGATTAATGTTCACTTGTAGTTCAGCGGCTGCAGGTGGTATTTCTGGACGAAGTGCAGGTGGTGGTCGATTCAAGAGCTTCTTGAAGTGGTCGGCCCATCGTTTCCTCTGTTTCTCTTCTTTTGTAATTAAATTTCCTTCTTCATCTTTTATTGGTTTCATCTGTGTTGGTCTATTCCCTGATAGCAACCTGGTTATTTGATACAATGTCGTCAGGTCTCTCTTACCTGCAGCCTGTTCTGCTTCACTTGCCAGTGTTTCGTAGAAGTGTCTTTTGTCTTTGCGTGCACTCTTCTTCACTTCTTTGTTCAGTGTTTCATACATTGTGCTCAGTTCCTCTTGTCGTTGAGCATCCTTGCACTGGTTTATCTTCTGCTTCACCATCCTCCTCTCCTCTATCAGCTTCCAGGTATCTGTCGAGATCCATTCCTTGTCTTCTTTCTTCTTCCTTCCTAATACTGTTGTGCAGGTTTCTTTCCACATAGCTTTCAAAGACTTCCAGTGTTCTTCCACACAGGTTTCTTCAGGGATGTTGCTCGATGTCTCCCATTTTGTCTTGATGGCTGCCTTGAAGATCTCCTTTGTAGTTTCATCCTTCAGTTTCCGAGTGTTGTACTTGGGTTGAGGTCTATCACCAGCTTCCTTGAAGGCTTTTAACTTGATTTGGAAGGTTCCTTGCACTAGGTAGTGGTCTGAACCTACATCTGCTCCTCTTCTTGACCTTGTGTTAAGTAGACTGCGTCTCCATTTTCTTGAGATTGAGATAAAGTCGATTTGATTTTTAGTGTGTCCATCTGGTGAAATCCATGTCGCTTTGTGGATATCTTTGTGCCTGAACACACTGCCTCCAATCACCAAATCGTTGAATGCGCAGAATTCTGCAAACAATTCTCCATTCTCATTCATTTCACCTAGTGCCTCTCGACCCATGGTTAGTTCTCTTCCCGTGTTGTCCCCTCCCAGTTTGGCATTCATGTCGCCCATCAGAATTTTGATATCGCCAACTGACGTCTTGTCCAGTGTTGATTGAAGTTGTCTGTAGAATTCCTCCTTTTTCTCTTGCTCTGCATTATTTGTAGGTGCATAACATTGTATGATTGTGACCTTTCTTCCTTTTGAGTTGAATCTTGCTGTCATGATCCTGGAGGAGATTGGTTCCCACTGCATGAGAGCCTTCGATGCTCTTGAGGACATCATGATAGCCACTCCCTCAGTGTGCTCGTGGTTGGCGTCTGGGTGACCGGAGTAGATTATTGATTCTCCAGTTGACAGTTTGGAGAGTCCACTCCCATTCCATCTGCTTTCGCAAATCCCAAGCACTTCGATGTTATACCTTCTCATCTCCCTTGCAATCTGGGCTGCCTTACTGGGTTCAAACATCGTGCGGACATTCCATGTCCCCACGTTTACTTTCGCTTTCATCGAGAGAAGACACATCGGCCAATTGGCTTCCCGAAGGCTTTCACCAACTGGCGTCATTTCGCCTCTCCGATTCCAGCGGGGAATAAGTTTGTTTTCATTTTTTATATTTTGTTTGTGCTTTGAAGTTTCTTTAGCGGTTAGATTTGTTTTACGGGGTAGGGTTGCTAGCCCTATGCCCAACCTTCCCTCTTTACCCGGGCTTAGGACCGGCTAGTAACTAGTAAACTAGTTAACCAGGCGAGGTTACTAGTTCAATACATCTACATATATATAGTGGAGTTCCAAGTTCAATCTAAGCAGTAAGCTAAATAAATTGTACCAGTACGAATGATAGCCAAGTTACTTTTATTTTTCAAGGATTAGAACAATAATGGAATGGATATTTTATAAATGTTCTCGGTGCATACTAGTAGTAGTCGAATAAGACAGGAGCAGAGACAACAGAAACGCGATGTATGTTTCCGTGCTAACGGTTTTTTTTCATTGCAGGAAATACAGTAGGTCATCTCGACAAAACTTGTTTCACTGTTAGGAAAGAAACTACGCAGTGTCAAAAAATTATAAAACGAAGGGATCTTCATTGACTGAGATGTCTGGTATAAGTATTACGCATGCGTGGTCTTCGTCTAACTTGTCTCACAATGTTAGCTGATGTATGTTTAAGTTGGAAAAAGGTTGGAGGTGACCAGACTAAAACATGGTATCAGTGCATGAAGTTTTTTGAACGGTCTAGGGTCATAAGTTATCTTCATAATAATCATCAGACTAAATTTCCGATATTCTGTCTTTCGTCTTCCAGTTTAACTTGTGAGTTCTAAATACTGGCACATTAATCGAACGTAGGCATCGACAATGGGCTCCGACTGCGATCTTGTTGACATCCAAGTTTTTGTTTCATCTGTCATCCTCATCGTATTTTATAGATGCTAGTCTACTAAGCCATGGCTATCTTAATTGGAACAGACTTATGAAATATCCAGTGTGTATGTGTTGGCGCGGAATCACTCTCCTGTCCACCCCAAGTAAAATATTAAGCCGCATCATCCTGGAGAGGCTAAGGGATGCACTGGATTCAAAACTACGACCGGAACAGGCAGGCTTCAGGAAGTACAAATCATGTGCAGACCAAATTGCAACGCTTCGTATCATCATAGAACAGAGCATAGAATGGCAATCACCTCTCCACCTCAACTTCATCGACTTTGAGAAGGCCTTTGACAGCGTCGACCGAGAAGTAATTTGGAAACTGCTTCAATACTACGGAGTACCGCAAACCTTTATCCGCCTCATTCAACAACTATAGGAAGATGCCACATGCCAAGTAATCCACAATGGGAAGCTCAGTGATGCCTTTGAGTGGAAGTGAAGACAGGAGTGAAACAAGGTTGCCTACTATCCCTCATGATATTCCTTATTGTGGTCACCTGGACTGGATCATGCAGCAAACAGTAGGCAGCGAGAAGAGGGGGATACACTGGACGACGGAAAAGAACCTAGAAGACTTGGATTTCGCCGATGACTTATGCCTAATGTCACACAAACTTGAAGATCTGCAGGCAAAAACTAACAAGTTGATAGAAGAGGCAGCTAAGACGGGACTTCAGGTGAATATAGAGAAGACAGAAGTGATGAAGATATCGCACCACCACCATCAACAACAACAACAAACTCCAATCACCGTCAACGGGAGAAACTTGAAGGAAGTAACCTCCTTCACTTATCTAGGAAGCACTGTTTCAACTACAGGCGGGACGGACGAGGACGTCAAAGTCAGAATCGGAAAAGCAAGACAGGCGTTCATTAGCCTGAAACCAGTGTGGAGATCTTCTGCACTCAGCATGCGGAACAAGATACGGATTTTCAACACCAACGTCAAGTCAGTGCTCTTGTATGGTTCAGAGACTTGGCGCGTCACGAAAGGTATTTCCAATAAACTACAGACATTCATCAACAACTGCTTACGCTCGCTGCTGAAGATCAGATGGCCAGAAAAAATAAGCAACAAGGAACTCTGGGAACGAAGCAACCAAGAACCTATCACGCAACAAATATGCAGGAAGAAGTGGAGATGGATCGGCCATGCACTGAGAAGGCCGACGGAGGACATCACGCGTCAGGCCAGTTGCTCGAGTGGAATCCCCATGGGAAGCGACGAGTTGGACGTCCGAGGGTGACATGGAGGAGGTCGTGCGAGGAGGAAATGAGAGCTTGTGGGCTGTCGTGGGACCAGGTTCAAAAGATCTCAGAGAACAGAGGTCACTGGAGGCGTGCTACTGAAGCCCTATGTTCCACTAGGAACCCAAGGGACTAATAATAATAATAATAATGTGTTGGCATAGATTTTGTGTTGCATATTTCATTTTATCCCCATACACTCATACCCTAACATATATATTGTGTTGATATTTTTGTATGATAGAAGACATGTGGTCCAACAGCTGATACAATGGTTTCATCAGCTAAACTCTAACTCTTTCCGGTTCAGAGCATACAGCACGATTAAGTTTACGTGTTGGCTCTGTGTTGAGTACAACACCCAACTGTTCACCCTCCACTGTACAGTCAGATAATTCAATGAAACCAAACAACAGTAATACCTCAACTACTGCCAACAATTTATCTGATTTTCAATTACGTTTACATGTGGATTTAGGACCAATTGTTGCTTGTGCCTATCCTAGTCAGTTCTATTGGCTACAGATGATGTTTGGTCAACTTGTACATATATATGAAGATTATGTTGAACATCGTAAAAGTATATCAGAACAAAGAAAACTAGAGAACGATATGACATGTTATTATTCAGACTTGTTAACCCACAATCACTTATCAAATATGATGAGAGAAAATAATAATTGTCTGAATATTGTTACACCGAATTTGGTAAGCAACTATCTTGTTTACTGTTTATTGTGCCTGTAATATTGAATGTAAACGTTGTGAATATACATTCTGTTTCAGTTTTAATTATATATAGAAGGAGTGAATTTAGTTTATTTGAAATATTCAAAATTGTGTGTTGTTCAATCTTATTAGTTTTGTAAAATGTACTACACAACATGCAATTTAATTAGTATTCATTTGTATTCATTCAAGTCGACAGGTTTTGTACAGTACTGGAAGGGTGCAGATGGTTGACCCATCCTAGTTACTTACATCTTGGAAGGTTATTTGCTGTTAAAGTATCTGGAAGAGGAAAATTTTTGTATAACTGCAGAGCTGATGGGACATCTGTTTTAAAGCTGTCATACATAGGTCTTTCATGATTGTTGGTATTAGATTTGATTGTTCTAAGGGTGGATAAACGAAAGCTATACTGCCGGCACCGCAAGACCGTAGAGCAGAGTGGAGTGCTCTATTTTGAGGGCCGACTTTTTCTAACCCATCCTTCCCATAGGAAAGGCAACCTCAGGACGGTACTGTGATCATCTTCAGGAAACATCTTCCTTCTGTCATACTTCATCTATCCAGCGAGCAGTACGACTTTGCCCTTCGACTTTCATCATATTGTAGCAATTCGTCCTACAGTGCTAACTGCTTTTCGTTTTACCGCTATCCAACAAACCTTTAGGGAACAAGCGTTCCAGATAGTGTAGCTCGTTGGGTCATTGTGATATACAAGCTCGATCACCACGTCAGAGTGGCAGCTATCAGTCAGAATTTATTCAGATAGTCGATGGGATTGTGTTTGTGTGTGATTTTAACGATTCAGATTTTGAGTAGATGTGCTGATTTGGAGAACAGTTATTTAAAGAAAAGTATTTCTAGTGTCACTGCTGAATACGTATAACGAAAAACTAGATAGGCAAATAAACTTACCAGTCTTTATTTGGAGTTCTGTAAGGAGATTTTGTGACCTACAACTGATTCGTGTTCTTTGACCTACAGATGAGTAATTTTGAATGACGATCATTAACTACTTTTCAAAGTATTCGATCAGAAGTCGGGGTTTACGGTTGTTACCATATATTCACAAATGAATATGTAAGAGAATGAGTTTGTTGAAAAGTTAATGGCTTCAAAAACAAATGGAGTATGAAACTTTGGTTAGTGCAGGTGGGAGACGACCCTCTTCACCTATAGCCCAATATGTTATTGAAACGGGTCACAGGATTAATTTTCGAACAGCTTTCAAAGTTTAATGTAGAAACAGTCATGGATGGATAGTGAAATTTACTATTGAAACCATTTATATAGGTATAAAAAGAATTTGCTCTTGCACTTATACTATACCTGCCTTGGTAAGCTTGGTTTTCCCACCATGATTAAGATGAAGTATGCCACTCTTCCTTTTTTTTCTCATCTTTTCTTATTTTAAGCCTCCCCCCCCCTATTAACTCAATTGTTCCATTTTTCCTCCCATTCATCCTTCGGTGTAATATAAATTAACTTGAAAAGTAAATAGTTTCTTCTCTACAGTTGTCTCCTCTCTCTCTACCTGAAGTTTGTAAAGTTCTCAACTTCCAAAGGCTACACTTCATAAGCATTGAGAAGAACACAGTGAATTGCTACTTAATACACTTAACTCTTAATAGGCATTCAAATATTTCTTCGATGTCGTATCTGGTGGAAGGTAGAAAAGGAAAATCTTTCACTTAGGTGCGTTGTTTGTAGAATTATGATTCGACTGATGTTCAGTGTTTACAGTTTTCGAATGTCTGTTGAATAGATACTAAAAAGTAAATCTGTTTCAGTTATAAATGAGTTCTATTTAACAAGTTTCTAGTTTTATCATCAAAACCCGCCATATTGTATTCGATATTACACAGTTACTGATGAGGTGCTAATAAATGTTAACAAGTGGACGAGATTTGACCTCGTAGTTTATTTTTACTCACATCCGACCTGATAGACTGACAAAATCAACGTAGAACCTCACACCCAGGTGGATCGGCTTAAGTTGTCACACTTCATAGTTGTACACGAAGAACGGGTGGATAGAAAAGGAGTGATATCAAAGTAGACAATATAGTGTAAGAGAATAAACAATATGAAGGTAACGGTTAGTGTAAATATTCAAGCTTTAGACGATGTTATTATGATTGATTTTTCGCAATATCACTAAGAGCCCTCAACCACTGATTCCTTTAATCTCGGAGTCACCAACCAGGCAGTCCACATCTCGAGTTGGTATTCATCATGGACTGACATCAGTTGGGGGAAAATTGGAAATCTGGGAGCACTGGAGAGTTGTTTGGTTTTAGTATGGGACTCCTCAGCAATGCTCATCCATGACTAGCTCGTTACCATTGAGCCGGTGGGTCGGAATCAAATAGTCCCTATTTCCAACTCCCATCAGTTCACGACACAGCATGACCATCACCCAATGTCATCGTTAAGTATTTGTCCTCATCACCACCAGGTTTGCTCCACCGGTGATGACTTCCGATTGGAACTTTGGGACTAATCACCCTTCTCGAAGCTAGTCACCAATAAGCACTAGATGAACTCAATTTGGAGGTTTGTGGGGATTTACCAACTTGAAATCAATAAATCCCCACAAACTCTCAAGTTAAATTAGTCCACTTCTCCTTACACAACTCAGAACAACAGTAAGAGACTTCATGGACTGGTGTCACATCTTGGTCTGGTCACCCTGAACCCTCTTCCAACTTAATTCAACTTGGCCTTTCATGGCACGTTGAGGTAGGTTTATTATTATTATTTTCCCTTGGGTTCCTAGTGGAACATAGGGCTTCAGTAGCACACCTCCATTGCACTTTGTTCTCTGCAGTCTTTTGAACCTGTCGCCACGACTGCCCAAAAGCTTTCATTTCTTCCTCACACGATCTCCATGTCACCCTCGGACGCCCAATTCTTCGTTTCCCCTTTGCGTTGCGTGATATTCCTAGTGGGCCTTCTCAGTGTATGTCTAATCCATCTCCACTTTTTTCTGCATATTTGTTGGGCGATGGGTTCTTGGTTGGTTCGTTCCTAGAGTTCCTTGTTGCTTATTCTTATTATTCTAGCCGTCTGATCTTCAGTGTCAGTATCGAGCTTAGGGGGCATTTATTGATGAATGTCTGTAGTTTGTTGGGAATGCTTTTCGTGGCACGCCAAGTTTCTGAACCATATAGCAGCACTGACTTGACATTGGTGTTAAAAATCCGGGTCCTGTTCTTTGTGGTGTGTGGAGTAGATCTTCACACTATTTTCAGATTAGTGAAAGCCCGTCTTGCTTTTTCGATCCTAGTTTTGACATCCTTGTCTGTGCCCCCTGTAGTTGAAACGATGCTGGCTTGCCTAAGTAGGTGAAAGAGACTACTTCCTTTAGGTTTCTCCCGTTAATGGTGATTGGTGCTTGTTGTTGGTTGGGTATCTTCATCACCTCCGTCTTCTCTACATTCACTTGAAGTCCCATTTTCTCTGCCTTTTCTGTCAACTTGTTAGTTTTTGCCTGTAGATCTTCGAGTTTGTACGACAAGATATTAGACATAAATCACGATCGGTGGTGAAATCGAAATCTTCTAGGCTCTTTTCACCGGTCCAACGTATGCCCATCTTCTTGCTCCTCGCGGTTGTCTGCTAGATGATCCAGTCCACTACAGTCAGGAAGATGATCGGTGATAGTAGGCAGCTTTGTCTCTGAATGTACAGTACACGTCTAAGCCATCTCAGTTGTTTAAGATTCAAAACCTTATCAATTGACTTGCCTTTCTTGCCCAGTATTCGTGTAAACGAATTTAAATTTTGTTTTTTGATATTTCAACTATTTTCACCTTCACTATGTTTCATGATAAGAAGACAAGAAATAAAGTTGTGTTGAAATTTAAAAGTTCAATCCATGTTTGAGCAGTTTTACGCGTTGATTATCCTACTTCCTGTTATTCCAACACATACATATTTCACATGGTAATGATGGATAGTGGCTAGCAGTGGAATTCAGGATGCGCATTTCGTCCTATTTGGAACTCATCAACTGAGTGATATTATTCTCGCCGGGATTCAAACTCGGCACCGATCGCTTCAAAAGGCAGAGCGTTATCCATTAAATCACCAGGCCATGATAACTACTTCTTATACGATGGGTATAGTTTTAATATAATTGCTTGTATTATACCGTTTTTGATTGGACGGGATTAATCAGTCTCCATTGACATCCGCGCAGGAGCCCATATGCCAATAAAGACCGATCAATTTGGTCCAATCAACATCGGTATAATACAAGCAATAACACTAACATACTTCAAATTGCAAATCGACGCATTGAAGCATTCACTTATATTTTCTAACTTCTTAAAGTTGTGTCATATGTTTTTTTCGTATTATTTTTCTTTTATCAAGTTATAGGTATGTCATTAATTTTGCATGACCATGATATTTCCTGTCATATGTTCAACATTCACATATAATACCAATTTAAATATCATATGAATTTGTAGGAAATTCGTTAAATAGGTATATTTAATGATGAGTTAAGTTTGTTTTCAGTCGTATGTGATGGCGTATCGTCTGGTGCATACAACCAAGCATGGAATAGATAATGATCAGTAGTAAAGCCTTTGTACTTCTAACGATAGTAATTAATATTATCTGTTTGTATTCTTCTCTTGGGGGTAACTATGACTCTTTCTTTGAGTTGCCAAATGCCTCGCCATAGTTATGTGCTACTAAACACTTGAAGCGATGAACCTTGCTTCACTCCCTTCTAGCTGTGTAACGGCTCTTCGATTAACTCTCTAAACTGATTAATTGTCTGTTAACCATGCGAGCTGAAATGCTTGGGTGCCTCCGTCCAATCATGATGAGAGGAGGGTTAATACTAGCTGAGTGACGAGTGAAAGTTACGTCTGGTCTTAGCAGGATGACCTAGGCTGAACACTCAATCCTGTCCCAGATAAACAGCTGGGCCTTCTCTGTTGGTAGGAGTGCGTGGCCTGCTGTGTACCCCTTTTACATGCATATGCGCCTTATCAGCTGTTCTTTGTGTGGTTGGTGACGTTTGATCGACCTGGAAAAATGGGAAGACCAAACTAGTTACAGAAAGAGTGTCCACATGGCGTGGTTAAGTGGTGTTGTTGTATGTGCTGATGGCTTGGGAAACCGGAGATGGTGTCTGCATCGGTGGTTACAGGTCGAGCGTAGTCACACAACAGCAGTGACCCTACACTTGGTCCCACTGGACACCAAGCAATCTGCCGTCAAAGTTAGCTTAGCAGCCAGGGCAGTCGACGAGATCCATATACGTAGATCATTGGCATGGGTCTCCAGATTACGGATGGTTTACCTGGCCGTCAGGATTCCGCCCAGTACGCTGAGAGTAGTGCACCCGAAAGGTAAGGGGATCCAGCTTCCTAATTCCGTTAGTCACTGTCATTGAAGCAGTTTTTTAGGGAGAGGTGTAACTCATTTTGCCAAGAAGAGCGATATTCGGTCCAAAATGCTGATGTCATTAGCCTTAGCCTTGACTGTATGTCGGTAGCCCATGAAAGCTTCTGAAGTTGAATCAATCCAATGTACAAGATCATAGAGACTCAGTGAGGCGCATCTTATACACGTCTGCCCACTCCACCTACCTAGGTAGTCTCATAGGTTTTTACACAACAGATTTGGCTCATCGTCTAATCCATGAACAACCAATTGGTTTCTGAGATTCATTTTTTTCGTATCTAAACTAATAGGCTACAGCTACACATACATGTTTATGAACGTGTAAGAGTTGTGACAAATAAGTTAATCTATATGCTGTATATCTTTGCATGCAATACTGGTGCTTATCAAACCAGCATATCCACATGACAAAATGGATTCATACTGATGCAGTGTTAATTTGAGTCACTCACCACTCATCTCAAAGTTATTTTCTGTTGATTGTAATGAAATTTTACTGTTTTGTTATACTTGCTTAATTCCTTTGAATAAATATATGTAAATGATAATGCCGATAAAAAATTAGTTAGTATTAGTGTTGGGAGAGATATAGACTGTCTGGCTGAGGTTCTCGAGATGACAGGAATCAGTGGTTGTTAACTCAGGATATGACGGCTAAAAAATAGGTTGCAGTGACGTCTCTTTCTTCAAATTGTTCCTTTTCTCATACAACGTTGTCGACATTTTCTATCCACCTGCTATTTGTATACTACTGTGAAGTGTGGCAAACTGAACTGATGAACTTCCAAGTGGGGTTTAGCGTTGATTTTCTCTGTCTGTCTGTCTATTCCTGTAGTAGCCTCCTCGTGTAACCGCACTTAAAATGATGCCTTAAACTGACTTCTGTAGCTCTGTAATGCGAAAATTCCCATTTAGACATTTAGTCAAACAAACAATGTGAGCGAAGAAATATTTCTTTTCAATTAGTTCCTCATCAATGGCTCTACACTAATATAGCATTTTCAAACGTAAAATTACCTACCAATCTAGTGGTAAGAGTTGTTCAATGAAAGGTTATCAATCTCAAAGTGTCAAGAAGGTGATAACTGATCAGGTAATTAAGACAGTTAACTAAAGCAAAGATTAATTATCGTAGAAAGATTTTTTGAACAGGTTCTTACATAATTGATATTTTGTATAATGGTAACTAAAGGGCGAAAGTGAACTGTTACGTAAAGTAGTAAATTGTTGACAGTAATCAGAGACAGTAGGGGGAGAGAAAAATGGTTAAGTCTGTAATAATAATAACAATAATAATAATAATGGAGCTATTAAAATATTAGTTATAGTGAATTGTGTGGTGGATGAAATGAAGAGTCTTGTTGTAATAAATGAGCTATACAGATGGCTCTGTCAAGGGAACTCTTAGTTTGGAGGACCAACCAAATTACTAAATCACATCCAAGATCCTAGATGAAACCAGTTTCCACGACATGAAATACATTTTATTCCTGTTTTCTTATATTCATTATATTTTTCTTATTATTTAGGATAATCATATTTGCAATTATTCTAATCATGATCATTTTCAAAAATTGTACTCAACATCACCTGAGCTTACGGAGACTCATCTTATTGATTTGGATCTCTCAGACAATACAAGGGATTCTCAAAACTTTACATCTACAATGCTGAGTAAGTTTTTTTCCATTGATTTTTTCTGGGGAGGGAGTGTTGAATGATCAAAGTATACTGTTCCAATCTGTTTTACATTACGTATGTTAGTCGACCAATCATTCATTCAGATTTCAAGTTAATAGTTTAGGTATGTTCAGAAATTTTGAGAAATTTAGAAATATTTTCATTAGACCTCACCCAGAATGCTGACAAAAAACACATTTTATCATTGTGTTTTTGGCTTTGTAAGTAGGATAGCTGAAAGATACTACTACTGAATTGACTTCAGTAGTTAGAAACTATCCAAGCTAATCTGTAGTATTTCGCCAATCGGATCAAAGGGATCTAAACTCCGAACGACTGTTTTACTCGTTTGGGGTTAAGCCAGCTCATCAGCGATGTATCCGGACAAATTCAGCTGATAGAGCCAAATTAGTCCAAATCATCTGAATCTGGCTAGCTGACATGAGCAAACGGGTATACCTAATGTAGAATGATCATCGTTTTGCAAATAACTTACAAATTACACGGTCCATGGTGACATTTCCCACAGCTGAGTAGTTTTTTTAACTGTCCAACTGGCTAGGGAAATGTTAAGATCAGCTTGAGTGATTTATCACTACTCGAATCGTTCAGTAGTAGTATGATCTTTCGCTAATTGATGACACTAGTATCACAGATCACACACCTTGTGATCTTGGCTGACTGAATTCCAGCGGAAACCTTGTTGAAACCATATTTGGGCAGTTGAAAAAAAATACTCATCTGTGAGGAATATCAAATGTGGATTGTGGAATTTGTGTATCCTTTGCAAAGTAACTGATCCTCCTATTTAAGATGGGTGAAAACTGATGCGTGCAGTATCACATCCTATAATTCAGATAGCTCATGGATTTTATTCATTTTCCAAACAGTTGAATTATCAATTACACTGTTAGATTAGAATATAAATGTTAGAGTGTGAATTAACTAGAAATCTACCTATCTTATACTAGCCTATGTTATCGGCTATGTCTGTCTGTAGGTAGTTTTACATTCAATGTCATGTTCTATTCCATAAAAGAATGTGACCTTCCATTTTATCTCTTGATTCAACTGCTGGCGACTTTGTCGCATTAACTAATAAATTGTCTTTTCAATGAAGGGTTTTACTGTGAAGTGCCTACATGAATGAGTAGTTTTCAATGGTCAGTTACATGCACTCTGTTCTGTTCTCTTTTATCACTACGAAACTTGGCCGTTAACAGCAGACGATGTGAAGTGGTTACAGGGTTTTGATAGTAGGTGTCTTCATAGCATTGCTGGCTTGTGGTGGAATCGCCGTGGGAGTAATGTTGAAGTCAGGCGAAAAGTACTAGGCTAGACAGGTAAGTCGATAGACGAGGTTTTCAACCTTCATCGTTTGAGATGGGTTCGACATGTACTGCACATGCCGAGCCATCGCCTACCTAGACTTGCCATACTAGAAGTTGGATTAGGTTGGAAGAGGGTTCAGGGTGACTAGACTAAGGATGTGACGGCAGTACATGAAGTGCATGAAGTCTCTTACTGTTGGTCTTAGCCATGTGAGGAGATGTAGACTCCCTGCTTGGAGTCCCTAAGATGAAAGGAATTAGTGGTTTAGGACTCCTAGTGACATGGCTGAAAATCGGTCACAGTGGTGGCGCAGATGTACTTACTCTTCGAATATTCGCACTAAACTTTATCTTCAACTTGTTTATTCTCTCACACTACTTTGATATCAGTCTTTTTCTATCCACCTGTTCTTTTTGTACTTCTGTACTTCTGGTAATTTGACCCAATGCACTTGTGTGTAAGGTTCTAATTTGATTTTGTCTGTCTGTTTGTCTCTGTTCAATCACAACATAAACATATCGAGTGTCGAGATTTATAAGACTTATGAAGTCAAGCTACTGTTTTTTGAAATCAGTAGTATAGAATTTCAACCAAATAATTTCGTCAAGCACATGATTTTAATTCAATTTTCAATATTGTATTTATCTAGATAGTGAATTATTTCGTTCTTGTTTGACTGATGTATCAACCAGTACAATGCATGAAGACAATGCTACTTTAAACCATGTCGGTGAGTGATTATGTTGTTTATTTCAGATAATTCCTCGCATACTTCGTAACTCCTGTTTTAACGATACTTGTGATTTCCTGTTTCTTTACTGGGCCGAATCGCTCGATCTCTGTTACCAGATGAGCTTCTGTGCGGATGCCTCAATACTACCCGATGTCCCGGATGTTACATTAATTTTGGTGGCTAGCAGGGAATACAGGACGCGCGTTCCATCCTATTTGGGACTTGTCACCTGAATATACCTGCACCCAATGAGTGATATTGTTCGCACCGGAGCTCTAACCCAGTATCCTTCGCTTCAAACACCAGAGCGTTTTCCACTAAGCCACTGGAGCCATTTGTAACAACGGGAAGTTATAAATATCATTACAACTGATACCTGTTGCACAAGAGGTGGCTATCTTCCCCCAGTGGCTTAGTGGAGACAGCTCTGCTGTTTGAAGCGATGACAACTGGGTTCAAGTCTCAATGGGAACCACACCACTCAATAGGGTGCAGGAATATCTAGCTGAAGAGTCCCAAGTAAGATGAAATGTGAGTCCTGGAGTCCTCTGCTAGTCACCAAGATCAATATAACATCATAACTCCCACCTATTTTGTATGTTTCAATGTTAATTTTTCGCTATACAATGATTTCAGTCTGGTATTTTATTGGTTTTTGTGCAAGTATCTATTGATAAAGGGATCTTAACTCTGCGATGTAATGAGTGTTTGCCCTTTTTCAAAACATCTCCGCAGCTACTATGCACTTATCTGAATTCAGAAGTCTTCTGGGAATTAGCAATGTGGAACTCTTGTATATATTCTGTGCATCGTTAATTAAAACGCTATTTTTATACCGCTACTTATTACCTACTTACATGTAGTCGTAGGTTTGTGGGTTATTTATTGATACGATAGTAGTTGTCGTCATACATAGGAATCAGTTCGAGAGAGGGAGAGAGAGCGTTGGGCAGCTATTTTTGTTTTGCTCTGGTGCACCCAAGAACAAGTAATCCCAGGAAAGGGTGGATTAGGTTGGAAGAGAGCTGTGGGTAGCTAATTTAGGATATAGCACCAGTCAAAGAAGTCTCTTGCTGTTGGTCTGAGTTGTATGGTGTGATATATACTGGTTGGTTGGGATCCCAGAGACGAAAGGAATCAGTGGTTGAGGATTCTCAGGGAAATGACTGAAAATCGGCAGCTATGGTGGTGCAGATAGATTAACTCTTTGACGCCTCCTAAAGCTTGAATATTTGCTCTGATCTTTTTATGCTGTGATGAAACTCTTTTTCTACCCACTTCTTTTCATTTTACCATGTAGTGTGACAACTTGAGCTGAGGCTCTTGTGTATGAGGTTTGACGTCGAATCGCCTGTCTGTGCACCTAAGAGCCTTCATGGGATTGAGCGTAGGATGGCTACTTCTCAAGCCCAGCCACTGGATCAAAAACCGGTATTCCGTTGTTTCTTATTTCTGTCAGGTTGGATTACTATCGAGTGATCATCAGTGACTTACTTTTAAATGGATTTCCTGAAGTTCTGATAAGATATTTTGATTTGCGGAGTCAACTGAGTTGAGAATGAAGTGGATGCCGACATACTACTCTGCATAATGATCGCGATATATCACAAATTGATAGATATAGTAAAGTGTCGCCAATCGAGTTCAAATCCAGTAGTTGGATAGTAACGTAGTCACGAAACATGATTGTCTTTCGTTCTGTCTGTTTCAGAGTCGTGCGTGTGCACTGTAGAAGAGTCCCTACTACCACTATGGGATTTTCTGCATTAGTGACTTGTCTTGATGATCTCGTGTATAATTGGTTATTTCTTCTAGAATCTTGTCTTTGTCTCTGAAGTTTTTTTGATTGGTTGTCCTGTGGATGTTTCTTTTTGGTTAATAGATTGGGTCACTGTCATTAATGTCTGTTGATCACTGACTGACCTGAATATCAAGCTTTTAAACATTCTCTAGCATTCTTTATAGTCCCTCTGTCCAGGAATTCCATATTTTCCAGACAAATTCATCTCCACCATTGTCTATATTTATTGACATGAAAGAAGATATATCATGAAGTCTCACCGCTAGTTAAATTTCATATAAACGGATACGAAGAGGGCGACTACTCTATCCGATATACTGTTTTTTGCAGTTTCTGCAGTTTGTTTTGTGGATACTCTTTAGCTTATCTTCTCTTACTTTTGTATCTGCTTTTATAGGTTCGTCAGCTACAGTGATTCCAAAAGGCTTCACTAATGTAGTTGTAATCTCGGTCTTGGTTTTCATGGTTGACTTCTTGCTTGATGATGAATTATGTAAACATCTTTTGAGAAAGTTACATGAATAGCCGTTCTTCTGGAAGAGCAGTCATTAAATATTTTCCTTCTTTTCTCTGTAAAGTTGATGTACTACAGTGTGTTTTCTCTCTTTTGAACAGTGTTTTTATACAACTGATTTTTTTATGCTGTTGATTTATTGATGCCGTAGTTGAGGATTTGATCTGTATGAGTTGGTTTTCTGTATACTTCAGTTCTTGATTTTCCCATTCTAGTGATCAGAACATCTGAAAATCTAAGTTTGTTATTTGATTCTTCTTCAGCCGAGATCTTAATGTCGTCGAAAATGTTGTCGGTTAATCTGTAAGCTTTTTCCAACTCGTTTCTCTTAACAATGACAAACATGTCATCTACATATTTGAACCAAAGAAGTCTTGGTTTGATCAACGGTAACACCATAGTTACCAATCTTTGCACTACTACTTCTGCAAGCAGTCTTGATACAAGCGCTCCCATTGATATTCGTTTTGTCTTTGTGTAGAGCATAGGGTTGAATTAAACATGGTTACCAAGTTGTATTATAGATTTCAATTAATAAATACTAGAAAGTAGTAATCTTAATGATGCATAATCTCTAAGTAAAACTAACTTATGCATATATTATCATTGTAAAATTTAAACTTTATTTTCGCGCCGTTTTTGCACCATGCAATGTTACTTATTTTTACCGCGGTTTAGGATACGAAACGCTGATTGGTCCATTTCACACTTTTAATATGCTATTTTGTTTTCCCTGACCCAGGTGACCTAAGGATATAGAAACTATTAAATTTTCAACCATGAATTTATTCGATTGAAGTAAATATATTTTCAATTCCATCGTTTTCTTCTGGTGTCAATTGAATATCGAGTTGAGAAGTGATTGTTCTATGATTTATTCATCATATCGCTTCAGAGCAAACAAACAAGCTTACTCATATCTTAACAGCTGAGATTCAAATTGGACTTAGTTGTAACTTTATTGTGGGATATTTCGTAGTTGTAAGGTACTCTGGCAATTTCCATTGCACTGAGTGCTTAGTTTCATAGCTAAACAAAGCTTTATAGCTTTTTGTTGTATGAGTTGGTCATCTTTTATCGACAGTTTGTAGCGAAGGGCTAAGTCACGTTACCTGCAGAAGCCGAGAAGGGGATATGCAACGTGAAAGGAGGAAAAGCAGCAGGACCGGACGGACTATTTCCTAAGGTGTATAAGGATGGTAGTAAAGTTCTTTTGGTCAAGTTAACTGGTGTTAACTAGTGTATGAAAGTCAAATAATGATCCTCTCTGACTGGTTTCAATCACTGGTTATCCCAGTTTTCAAGAAAAGCAAGAAGTTCTCTTGTAATAACCACAAAGGAATCAGCCTGATGAGCATAGTGTCTAAGATTTTATGTTCTGTAATCATTAGACGCCCGAATAGAGCTCAGGGTTAGCAAGCCCGAGAAAACCAGGCAGACTTCAAACCTGGCGGTGGGTGTATCGATCAAATATTCACACTCCATCGGGTTCTGGAACACAGACACGCTTCTTGATGCCCAACAACAGCTCCATTTCATGACCTGAAGACGGCATTCGACTTCATCGAGAAGTCTTATGGCAATGTTCATCACTGAAAGGGGTACCGAGTAAATGCATCACCTTATTGTTTAGTTTCTTTGTTGCTAAAGGAAATAAAATAAAATTTGAAGGTTTGTGAGGATTTATTGATTGATTTTTGGTTGGTATTCGTCACAAACTGACATCAGTTAGAGAAGCATTGGAAACCTGGAAGCAGTGGACATTTATTTCGTCCGAGTATGGATGATGAATAGCAACTCGAAATCAATAAATAATTTCTTACAAACTTTCAGACTGAATTTCGGTCTATTACTCATTACTGACTTACTTCAAGAGTTAAGATTCCTGAAGTTCTAATGAGAAATCGTAACAGATAGGGCAAACCAAGTCGAGCATATGAGGACACAGCTACTTACCGGTTGCATTGGATGGAGATTTCGCTATATCATGAACTAACTCAGTGACTGAAAGGTTACGTGCTCTCCGCGGAATCTGAAGGTCATAGATGCGCACTTCTGAGGAGTTTCATACTAGGTTGAAACAGCTGTCTAGTGCTCTCAAGTTTCAATGTTTTCACATCCATGGTGTGTGACTCATAGCCTTGCGTATAAACCTATAGTCGGTTAAGTTACGCCACCCACCTGCTGAGGTCAAAATTGATGGAAATGAATTCGAACGTGTGGAGCGTAGCTTAAAAGTCATATGTACTTTAGTCAGTAAGCTAAGTCTCCACAATATTTTGCTCAATACTGACGTTTATAATCATACGATATTTTGATAGCGCCTGATCTTTGTCTTCAGGACTTTTAGACAGATAGACACAAATAAAGAGGTTGGTTAGATGGTGGCGATCGGCAAGAAGCCCTGGACCTAGGTTTCGTTGGCACTCGTCAGCAAGGTGAATCTGCAACCTCGACGGAACTAATATCCCGCCTGAGATTCAAACTCGTGGTCGATAGAATTCCATCAGCACTAAATAATATGAAGTTGGTTACCCTCCTGTGAGACTGGCTTACGCGGGTTCAAATCTCGGGTGGGGGTGGGACATCAGGTCCTTCAGGGTTGCAGATACGCCTTGCTGACGAGTGCCAACACGCACTCAACCTAGGCCCAGGGCTTCCTACTGATTACTTCTATCCAGCTAACATCTATCAAAGTGCATCACACTACTGAGCAGCCTAGACTGGTGGCCACATAGCAAAATTATCGACAGGATTCGGTTTGTATTCAGGATCAGACAACATGAAATTGGTTACCTCCAGTAATGAATCAATGTAAAAATAAAAGGAACCTAGCGTAATGTCGTATGGATTCATTTTGACACGTTTCCACATAGTAATACTTTTAACCAATGCTCATCTGCTTTCAGACATTTGGTATACTTCCTTTTTCCTATTCCAGATCATCATTATGTTCAAAAAACTGCTGGTATGCGTAATTTATCTCAAGTGACTACAAAGTATAGCATATCAGCAAATATACTTTGTTTAGCATTTGTTGCATTCTATGAAGATGAATCTGTGTTAACAAATAATCAAACAGTTGAAGGGATTGCTTTTTCATCCAATTTAAATTCTATGCATAAATATCGATTCAATGGAAGTGAATTGAATCATCATAAATCATTCAATTCTGATGTAGAGTTGAATGAGGAAGTGTCGAAACATGCTGAAACATACCATACGAGTGAATATCATCATCAATCAAATGATTGTATTAGTAAAATGAACGTCAATAGTATCCATAATACTCCTCCTGCAGCTTTACCAGGACCATCTATATTTTTTGCACGATTTCATGGTCTTATACCAACTCCAAATTGTCAATCTACTAAAAATAATTTAGAGACTGGAGATAGAATACACTTTAAATGTCAACCAATGAGTATAAATCGTGAAGAAGTGGATACTGGTCGTATGTCTTCTTCTGAATGGGTAGCACACTTGAAACATCAACTTTCGAATATGGCTTATCCTCGTGATCATCTCTGGTATGTGCTATTCTACTCTCTTATTTAAAAAGTTTTACTATTTGTATTGTTCTAATGAGTATCATCAAATTGTAAGTCACTTAACATTGGACAAAACTCTCTATGCAAGGTTATATGATACAGAAATGCATTAAATACTTCGAAACTGTTTTTCTGCTGAGTGTAGTGTTTAACTGAATTGTTGAAAGTATGAAGTAGCCAAGAAAACTGACTCGTCGGAAGAAAATGAGGTTATAACTTTTTGATAGATCTTTTCTTCATATCGACCGGTAAAATTACATGGTTTTGTATTTTCAGAAGGTTAGTTTTGAATTACTTCTCGGGATCGTGTGAAATTTAGTAAGTCAGCTACAGCACTGTTGTTGTCACACATCCTAACAGTATGAGCGTGATACAAGGTATCAGTCCCCGTAGTCTTTTCGGGAATTTTTAAACTGTTTTATCACAGAAAAATCAGTTGAATGAAGAGTTTTGTGTTCTCCTTCAAATCACGTTTTTCATTCACAACACAAAACTTGTTGAGTTATACTGAGTTTATTATTTTGAGTGTTTGTCTTTATTAATCCTACTCTTTATTTATGAGGAGAACTCGGATACCTTCTGAGTTATTCACTTGATGATAACATTCAACTCCCGCTACGATTAAATATTCTCCTGTTAGGCGAAGTTACTGACAAGTTGCAGAGTTTTCTGGACGCTTTGAGTGGTGATTTAAAAATGTTTAGGGTATGTTTCTCACCACCCAAATGCAATTTAGGTGCTCCAGGACTAATCTTGAGCTGTGCCCTGGTTAACGATAGAGAGTGGAGTGGTTGACCATTTCACTTACCTGGGAAGTCGGATCATTCCTTGTGGGTCGATGGACGATGAAATCTTGGCGGGGATACAAAAGGCTTATTCGATTGACTAGCTTTTGCCAACTTATACCACGTGTTGCACCGCTGAGATATCCGGTTGTCTATTAGGCGTCCTGTATAATGCACTGCAGTTCTATCTGTTCTATTGTATGGCTGTGAAATTTACAGAAAATGATAAGGCCTGTGATATTTGACCACGGTTGCCTTCGTAGCATAGGCTATATCGTGATATCACGTAACGTAGAAGTCAGATGATTGATTTTAGGGACAAGAAAAAGTCAGTCGGTGAGGTTGTGAACTTTGATCGACTAAGATGGATGGCTCATGTGTTACGCATACCTAGTCACCGTCTGCCTCGTCATACAATGTTCAGGCTGTAAAAAGGCTCGAGGCAGCCAGGCTAAAATCATGGTATCACTGCACGAAGTCCTTGACTATTGGTTTGAATCATGTAAGGAGATGCAGACTAGCCGGTTAGGATCCACGTGATAAAAAGAATCGGTGGTTGTCAGCGACTCTATGTGATATGGCTCAGAATAGATTTCAGCGGCACTGATGTATCCACACATTATCCTCGTCTTATTCTTCATACTACATTCGGCATTTTCTTATTCATCCCTTTCTTTTACCACCTTCTAACGCTTTTGATGGATTCTTCTTTATTTCTTCAACTTTATTGTCTGGGAAGTCGGTTCAACCCTGGTGCGTTGGTCAGTGGGCGACGGACTCTCTGCACGAATACAAAAGACTCTGTTGGCCTTTGCCGACTTACGCCATCTGTAGCGCTGCCGTGATATCCGATTGTCTGTTAAGAGCAGAATGTACTGTACTACAGTCCTCTCTGTTCTGCTGTATCTGTGAAACATGGATATTAGTATTTGAAGACATGAGAAGGCTTCAGATGTTTGACCACCGTTGCCTTCGTAGTATATAGGCCGTGTGTCGTGGTGTCACCACATAACGCAGAAGTCAGGCGTACAGTTTTAGGGGGAAGAGGTAAGTCAGTTGACACGGTTTTGAAGCTTCATGGACTGAGATGGTTGGGATATGTGTTATGTATGTCTAGTCGCCGTCTGCCTCGTCACACAATATTGGCGGAAATAGGTCCAGGCTGGAAAAAGGCTCTTGGCTGTTGGTCAGACTAAAACGTGGGATCAATGTATGAAGTGTTTGACTGTTGGTTTGGTGCATGTAGGAGGCGATGTGGACTAGTCGGTTGGGGTCCGTGGGATAGTCGAACCCAATTGTTGGAGACAGATTCGAGGTGATATGACTGAGAACTGATGCCAGTGGCACAGATGTATACATACATAACCATCTTTACCTCTGTACTTAATCTCACCATTTTCTCATTCTTCCTTCCTTCCTTCCTCTCTCTTACTGCTTTCTACTTCTGTTTTCTCCGACCAGTTTTTCTTCCCTTCTTCATCTTCCACTTTATTGCTTTGTTACTTGATGTGCTGAATTGAGGTGTGGCAACTTGGACCGTTACGAAGCAATGCCCTGGTCCTATGTTGATCTAGGTGATGATGACGATTCCGTGTAACTCAGCACCTCCATTACGATCCCGTGATGCAAATACTGAAATAGTTTATTCTACAGTTTCTGGCCTTATATTTCATCTTTTTAGATGAATAAAACGTGAAACAACAAACTTTAAAAGTATTAAATCTTGAATTAGCCCTTGAGAAAGTTGAATGCGGTTGTGTTGAGGACAGTGGAACCACTAATATGAACTAGAGAGCCTTGAAATGACCTCAGAAGAAAACTGTTTCTCACGTTAATGTTGTTGCTTTTAGATATGTATAAATAACTAATTTTATTCCACCTATGCCTGTCTACTTCACTACACAGATTCAAATGCATCACTGTTCATCTCAATTTTCAAGCCAACTTTACAGCTACTCGTGTTCTATCGATGTCTTATGATTCTTAATTTGTCCATATTTTTTATTTGCCTATTGATTAGATAGAAAGTTATGATTCCTTTTTTATTTACACAAATCTGTTGGTTGATAAACGAAAGGTTGATTGCATAAACAGGTGGATTTCATTTTTCTATTTACGAATCAATATGTGTTGTATAAATGGATGCCTGTCTCCAGTTGCTAACGTAGTATGCACTTTGAATAGGCACATTTTTGAAATAAACTTTACATCGACTTAGTATTTTATTTTATTGCTAGTTACTTTCCTCATCGTCGATTGAACCGAATTGCTCGGTATCTATTGGTATTTATGGGCTTCTAGTGGTAACAAAACCACTTACTGGTAGGCAAGTGCCTCCAGCTGACGAGGTCTAAATGAGACAAAACGCACCTCCTGGTTACCATTGCTAGCCACCAATCATTATTTAATCGGAAAGAGTTGTGAACTTTAGCAGAAACCTTACTAAATGACCTTGAGCCGCCAATCATTATCGACGAACGTTCATGAATCACATGAACAGGAATGAACAATGTTCATATATTTTATGGTATCTTTGCTGAGCAACGTTCATAATAGTACATAACCTTTATCCAAAATAACTGGGATACATACGAATTTTGTCGAAGGTTTTTAGAGTTATCTTAAAAGAAAATAGGGCAGATAAACAAATGAATACATGTTTTGCAACTGATTTAGCTTTCTACCTACTTCCATATTAAATATTAGGGAATATTGATGCAGTATATTCAAGAGAAACAAAGTATCCTATGTACTTGTATTTTGTTTTTATTCTCCCTGATGTGATTGGTGAGTACCCATTCATTTGTGAAGTTGGGGCTCGTTGATTTAGTCAGTTAACTTTCAGCTGATCGGTCACGGGTTCAAGCGTTACTCCATCTACCGAGTTTACGACAGCCGGATAGTCTTAGATATAATGAATGCGTCTCATTGCCTACTACACGAATGTGGGCTAACTAGTTGACTGAATTTCGATCGCCTATTTATTCTGATTCAATATTCAAGGTTATTTGTTTGGTTTATTGATCACTGAAGAGCAATGAATTTCATGTTGTTTAAGTCAATCCTCAGTGCTAATTGAATTTTACCGATTATTTTTTCAATGTAGCCACCAAGCTAGCGGGCTTTTCATCACTGTTCACTTTGATGGATGTTAGTTAGTTGGAGGCAATCGGTAGGGAGTCCCGCGTAACCAGGTTTCGTACCTGTTGCCACCCATCAGCAAGGCATACCTGTAAGATTCGAACCCACTTCCCGCAGTATTGTAGTCAGTGACGCTACTTAGGTATTCTTTATCATTGCCGTATTTCTTGATACTTAGGCTTCCGAAATCTTTTCCACAACTTTCTTTTCATTCAGCAGACTTGTCGTATTATGAAAATATCTGCAGCTTATATATATATATAACAATAGAGAGTGAAGTGGTTGAGTGTGTCGACCACTTCACTTACCTGGTAAGTAGGATCAGTCCTGGTGAGTCAGTTGCCGATGTAATCTCTGCATGGATACAAAAGGCTCGATTAGCTTTTGCCAGTTTACGTCACCTATGGCGCCGCCGTGATGTCCGTTTGTCTGTTAAGGGTAGCATGTACTGCACCGCAGTCCACTTTGTTCTACTGTATGGCTGTGAAACAAGGCCATTGAAAGTGGAAGACATGAGAAGGCTTCAAGTGTTTGACCACCATTGCCTTCGTAGTATAGGCTGTGTGTCATGGTATCACCACGTGAGTAACGCAGAAGTCAGGCGTATAGTTTTAGGGAGGAGATGGCTGTCTCTACTCTAACACTTGTGGGCGTGTTAGAGCCAATGGTGAGATGTCCGGGAAGCTGTACTGGTCGAGTGGTATCCGTGAAGGGCGCCTACTGTCTCCATTCTTATTCAATTTTATTATAGATATTCTTATTGAGGTCTCCCTCTCGTGACCTGACTACACAGACGTTGACCTAATCGTGGGAGAATTTTCGTTAGACCTAGAATATGTAGATGAAATTGTCTTGTTAGTTGAAGATGCTGACAAGCTGCAGAATCTTCTGAACACATTGAATGGCAATTTGAGAATGTTTGGGGTGTGTTTCTCACCACGCAAATGCAAATCGTTCCCCCAGGATTGGTCTTCAACGGTGTCCCACCGCGGCTAACAATAAAGAGTGTAATGGTTGAGTGTATTGAACACTTCACTCACCTTGGAAGTGGAA